CACAGATTTTTTTGCATTTTCGTGCAAATTTTTGTAATTTATGAGAAAATAGCAGTATAGATGGATAAAGTTAAGAGTGTGTGCAATGCCATTTTTATGCAATTCTGGGATGTTTTTTAAGTAAAAATAAGTCGACGTGTAAATGGTTTATGTGTATGTGCTATTCTGAAAAACGCGCAAGGAGTTTGCGATTGTGCACTTTTTCCCAATTTGCAGTTCATATTTGCCATGATTAAGCAGTTTTGTTACATAAAATTTCTAGCATAAGTGTAATTTCGGCTAGGTAGATTGTTGGAAAAAGTGTTCAGTAAATAAAAAGAAAAGAAACATGTCTTTACTTCGTGAAGACAAAATGGCGGCGGAAAAAAAAATAGAGGGATGCTGTAGCAAAGTTGGTCGCCAAATTTTCGCTAAAAAATCGCCAAGTTACCATAATCCAAAGATCAACCATATTTATTTATTTTAGTTAAACCTATCTCCCACACATGCTAAAGGCTCAGCTGAATCCCAAATAAATAAATTTCACACGCATACTTAAGACTTATCCAGAATTAGTCATCCCAGTGTCTTCCCTAAATTCTAAAGATTTTACCTCCCCTAAATTCTGTTACCAATAAGCTCTGGCATCAGTCCTGGGCTTAACTGAATAATAAATCGGTTAGTCTCACTTCAAAAAGCACTACATGAAATCTTTTAGTCTATGACTATCATTTAAACAAATCTGATTTTTGTTAGTTGTTGAGTCTGTTAAATTTCTTCTCATCAACACACTCAACAGCAGTTAACTGAAGTCTATGACTAAGCATCAACGTCAACATAAAATATTACTATGTTCTTTATATATAATTCTTAAAAAAAAAGAAAAAGAATAAACTGCTTAGACATTACTGCATGAGTCATTTGTAAAGGTGAAGAATGATTATAGCTAAGCCAAAAATAATTAACATTGATTTGGAAGGCTGACATCAGTAAGAAAACGGAATTAAGAATAACGACTATTATGAAAAAAAAAAAAAAGTGCAAGCATGATGCATAAAAATTTTTCTAAAAAAAACTCTACTTGCGATCCAGAGATCTGGATTTTAAGTCATTTTGGATAATGAACGTAAAAATTTTGTATTTCCTACTGCATATAATTACTAGTTATAAGTTTTTTCTAAATTATACAAATTTTGAATTCCTATTGTAAAACATTTTTGGTACTTTTCTGTTTTGCCAGTGCAAGCGATAAAGTTGCCAAAATTGGTACAACCAATGCAAATGGAATATCCTCTCTGGTAACCCTTTACACCTCATTTTCAAAACAAGTCGCAGCCATTTCTTATCAGATTGATTGTTTCTCTCAATACTGGCATACAATTACATAGAAGTTTTACCAGATAGTTCAATTTTATACACTAAGGCCATTCGTGGTAATTACGTCAATTAGGATGCAATCACACTGCTCACCCGAAGGCTAAAATATAGGAAAGACGGGTAGAGTAAACTTTAAAGTACCCCTTGTATTATGGCAAAGTTGTTGTTTGATTTATTGCCAAGTTGTTGTTTCATTTATGCTGGCCTGAGTAGTTGAATGTTATGGAAACCCTACTGTGACGTAATCGGGTGCATGATTCTGGGAAATTTTGAATCATGGGATGTTTTGTAAGCGTTTTTGTGGTGTGTGTTGGTTCGATTCTTTAGATGGTAGAATGGCCGAATGCAGTAAGATTAATTTGAAGTTTCTGTACGGTTTGGAGCGAAAGGGGAAAAAAGCTTGACTGGTGTGTAAATGACAGTTTACTTAGTAGCCATTATAAGTGTCATGTATGTAGGAAGGATATGCGTCTAGTAGAACGTAAAAACCGTTTAGATGGATTTGAATGGGTTTGTAGGAAGAAAGGTTCAGATGGTCACTATGTGAAGCGTTCGATCAGAAAGAGTACCTGGTTTAAAAAGTCATTGAGTGAGATGTTGATAGTTTGATTTTTACATGGCTCTGGGTGTACGAAGCGAACTCAAAAATCATGGTAAGTGAATATTTGGGCTGATCTTTAGAATATGGCAACTGGTAGTTTGGCGACATTTTGGAGGCGATAAAGGTTACTACCTGGGACTTTGGTAATAATGTGAGCAGTACTCAGTTTCGATTACGCATTATTTTGTGTGAGGGAAATGAGAGATCATGGGATATGTCATGTGATATTAATGGACGAATTACGGTTCTTTAATCGGAAAAGGGGGGAAATCGGGAAAAAATCTGGAAATTTTGTATTTGGCTTTATTCTGTGTTGTGTGAAAACAGTGTTTCGTTAATTTTTGGATCCCATGGCCCTAACTAAAGTGAATTCGAAATGGGTATTTAGTGGGATTGAAAGGGGTAGTAATAAGTGTTTCTTTAAGGTTGTGCGAGATAGAAGTAAAGATGTTTTATTAAGTTATTTATTTTACCTGGTACCTTGGTGTGAACTATAAGTATGATTTTAAAGATCCTGAAACAGAAATAAGAAAAGTTTATCGGACACATAATCAAGATTCTGAAGAAGAATAGGTAAGTTAGTATTTTTAATTATTTGAGGATATTATTTTTATGCATTGTTCTAAATGTAAGGTGGAAGTAAACTAATTTGCATAAATGTGCATGGAAATAATTTAAATATTTGACACTAACTATTTGTAACCATTTGTAATGTTTGCGGTATGAATTAGTGACGTTTGTAATATAATAGATAATGTAGAGGTAAAAGTTTTTGGATATTTTATTTATTTTATACGGGGAAATGTTCAATATTTGGAAAGGGTAATATACTTTTCGCGATCAGGTAATTTCATATATGTTCTTTTTACCGGGTTTAAAAATTCAGAAAATTGTTATGCATTTTCGTGAAATTTTTCTAATTTATGAGAAAAAAGCAGTGTACATGGATATAGTGAAGAGTGTGCGCAATGCCATTTTTGTGTAATTCTGGGATATTTTTTTAAGTAAAAATAAGTCGGCGTGTACATGGTTTATGTGTATGTGTTATTTTGAAAAACGCATAAGGAGTATGGTATTGTGCTTTTTCCCAATTTTGCAGTGAATATTTGTCATGATTAAGCAGTTTTGTTACATAAAATTTCTAGCATAAGTGTAATTCGGCTAGTAGATTGTTGGAAGAAGTGTTCAGTAGATAAAAAGAAAAGAAACATGTCTTTACTTCGTGAAGACAAAATGGCGGCGGGAAAAAAAAATAGAGGGTTGCTGTAGGAGAGTTGGTCGCCAAATTTTCGCCAAAAAAACGCCAAGTTACCATAATGTAAAGATCAACCAATATTTGCTTTTGGTAGGGTTTAAATGTATAACATGTTTTTCCTTTTTTATGTTATTTTATTGTTTGGTTTAAAATGTATTTTATTGAGATTATGTATTTTTTGTTTGCCTATATTGTAGAATTTGGTGCTCCTTTGACTTTTTAAGTGAAAATATATCGATGGTACATGGACAAAGGAGTGCACAATGCAAGTTTGTGCAATTCTGGGATTTTTTTTTAAAGTAGATATAGGTCAATGTGTACATGGTTAAAGTTAAAAGAGTGCGCAATGCCATTTTTGTGCAATTCTGGGATATTTTTTAAGTGAAAATAGTCCGACGTGTACATGGATAAAGTCAAAGGAGTGCGCAATGCCATTTTTGTGCAATTCGGGAATTTTTTTTAAGTGAAAATAAGTCGATATGTACATGGATATCGAGTTTGTGCAATTATTTGTCTTGTTATTTTGGCTTTGGATTTTTGTCGCAAAAATCGCCGCTTCGCAAGCCAAAATAACGAGTCAAAGAAATTGCACAAAATCGGTATCCATGTGCCGCCCAAAATCGCCAAGTTTCGCCAAGGGGTACCCTAAACTATACTTTTACCGGAAAGACAAAGTCAAGGGTTAAATTCATCAATTCTAATGAGTATGCATTAGCAAAGTAAAGCACTGTGGTTTTACATAATTTCTGAGAAAGCTATTCGTACGAATTGAAATAATTCTTGCATTTAAACTTGTATTCCAAATTAAGATTTAACTTCAAATTATTGTAGATAATTACCGAGACGATTCGATTTTTGTCGCGTACTCTACGTGAAATGACATCACTGATGGTCACGTGATATGAAATGGCGAATCATTATGTTGTACCATGCTTTCATTGTACAACATATTGATTATCTTTTTCTTATTATTAATGTCTTTTTACAAAATTTTAAATGATATTTAAATCTTTATGCCTTCAAAATAAAAATGTCTTAGAACTAACATTTGCTAACATTTCTTTATGTGTATACTGTGTGTTGTCGCCACTAAAGTCTTTATTTTTCTACTTCGCTTAACAAAATTTCTGTCACCTCATGTTTGGACAATGCTAGCAAAAGAAATGATATGCCCAAAACTTTCTTCATCTGCTATACACAGGGTAGGGCATCGCCTTGGTACCTGACTTCTGTGACTGCGTCACCCTTATAAGCCAATAAAGTCTGCTTGGCGAGATTTTCTCCAGCGAAACGAAAAAGTACCCATTTTTTTCAATTATATTTTCGAGAATGTGTGACGATAAAATATATACTGATGATAGTTTTTATTTTCCAATTTGTTACTTAAATATAAGGTTAACTAATAATTATAGAAATAAAACGAGGAAGAAAAGTATAACGCAGGTACAGGTCTTTGTAATTTTGATTTAAAAAAGAATTCAGATTTGAAATATTTTTGTAAATATTTAAATTTCTCCAACAGTACCATACATCAGGCAGTGAATTAAATGTCTTATAAAAGAATGGCAATGCCTTATTAATAACAGTTAAAAAAAAAAACTTAGTATGATAATGAATAAACAAGCGTAATGATTTAAAAATTCTAACACATAATACAGTTAAAAATATAACAATAATTCCAAAAAAAAAAAAAAGAATCTAATACCTCACAAATGCATAATTATATAAAATTTAGATTTTATACAATGCAGAATTAAACTGAGAAATTAATCAAATAAATTAACAAACCAATTTCGTAGCTCTATACGGTTCATTGTTATCCATAATACCAAAAGCATTAGTGCAGTTTTTTTCACGCAAATATTAAAGCTTTATGTAAATAAATTTATCTTTCTCAGGGTAGGATAGTCTAATTAATTGCCGATGCCCGGTTGACAACATTTGAAATTTGAAAACAAACTTCTACATAATGTTGCCAGTTAGATGGGTGAATGTTTTAACATTAATGTTTTATGATTGCAGTATGTAAAGGTTTAAAATTTATTACATTTTTGCATTTTGCAAAAAAGGAATTCGTGATAACTGAAAACAAAATTTAAAAAATCAAAAATGTATGTTCCTAGTGGTTAAAAAAGAATATCAGGAAAGATTATTTTTAAAAATTATTGGAGTTACATTTTATTGTTCATGATTTGGTGTTTTTTTTTATATGATTATTATTGATTGAGGACAATGACGGGTAAATAGGAATTATGAAATTTTATCTTTTCCGTCCATGATATCTCCTTTCAAACTTACATAAAAATATTTATTTAACAGTATGTTTAAGCATTTGGTCATGTTCCCTGTCTTAATTTTTTCAAAGGATAATTTATTGTTTTAGAAGCAAAAAGACTGGACACTATTTGAAACGATTCGTTGCATTTGTAGCTGGTTAATTGGAAAAGATTATGAAATAATTTCAGTAAACGTCATTGTCTTTCATTCCAGAGGATAATGATGATTGGAAAATGACTTCAGTTCAAGGACTCTAAATACGATATCTAATGAAGCAAATTAATTTATTCTTGTAACAATTTTTTTTTATTTTTTAATCAGAATTTTTTTTTAAAAAAAAAAGTCTGTTTAAAGCTAAGTGTTTTTTTTTTTTTTTTTTTTTTTAAGGAAATTTCTGTTAATCTAATTAAGAATTTGTTCGTTATTTGGCAATGCGTTCATTGCAGCCGGAAATTCGATGGAGTTACTTCCGTTGCAATATTCATCTGTCTCTTTATGAGGTCAAATTGACTGTAGCTGGAATGTCCTGTATAATTTATTCTTTGCAAAACAATTTAAATACTAGTGTGCATGTGTGTTGTAAAAAACTGAGCTAATGACTTCTAAAACATATTTGGTAAACTAAACCTATGCAAAGTTTATTGCTTACTACATTCATCCGACCAACGCCTTGATATTACCGGTTTTGAAGATTAATTTAGCAGTAAGTTTTGTGAAATGTTAGAAAGAGAATTAGTGTTAAGTGAGCGATTGCAACATTTAATGTGTTGTTTGTATTTGCTCATGTCCATAAATAGAATTTAGATGGTTTGCATGTTTTATTTCAAATTACTAAGCCTATGCAAAGTTAGAAATAACATATTTATGTTATTTTAATCTGAATGAAATTAATTTTGTGAATGATAGTAAATAATATGATATCTATTGAACAAAGATTAATGATCTTCCTGAATTATGGCAATAGGAGGAGTTGTAAATCAACCTGAAGTATAGCTTGAAAATAGAAAAAGAAATTAATATTAAATAAACAACTTCATTATGGCTATAGAAAGTAAAATTATTCCGTTATGTATTGTAGTTAAGTGCATTATGTTTGTTTCTTTGCAAAGTCGAATCCTAAGCAAATAAACTGTGGTTTAGATTGGTGGAACGGAAAGTAAATCTGGAGATTCTTTTTAATGTGTTTTACTAATTTTCTGGGTAATATGTAACCAAAATTTTTAAAGTAGGAATTATGATTAAAGTCCTGTATTGGTTTTAAACAAAGCTAATTCGAGATAAAATTATAAAAATAGAAGTTAAATGATCATAGTGCACAATTGTTGATATTTATTAGAGGATAAAATGTCATTAAAGGGCCATTCATCGTGGGAGTTTATCTGAACTGGCTCCACTATACATGAAGTTCAGATTGTTCAACTGAAGAATTTTTTTTCTTCCAACACCAGGGAGGTATATCAACTATGCCAGATGTTTTGTATAAATCCTAGTGTGAATGGACCTTTACCTAATAGCAGTAAATTATGAATTGTATTTTGCATGAGCAAATTAAGATTAAAAATATGCATTATTTTAGTTTGTAAGGAATGCAAACTGAAATAATTATAACATTGAATGAAATCTGGGTAATTAATTTTGGATCATTTAATAATCTGCTATTCAGATAACAAATGCAAGAAAACCATCCTAATTTGAACTTAAAAATTAGTATAGTTGTAAATGTTCGTGATATGAGTTCACCACTTAAAGACAATTTTCTTGAAGGTCACGAGTCATTACCGACTTGACAAAATATAAAATTATCAAGGCTCTGATGTAGAATTGGGTGGCCATTCAATTAGCAATTTGTTCAAATTTGGCAGTGAAAGCCCATTTCTGGTTTTCATGATAGTTTTAACGTTGTTTTAGCTTCCTGATTTTTTTAAAGTGAAAATAGATCGATATGTGCATGGACAAAGTTAAGGCAGTGTGCAATGTCTAGTTTGTGCAATTCTTTGACTTCTTATTTTGGTTTTTGTGTGCCGGACATCTTGAAAGTGTGCGTTCCTGCGCCGATCTTAACATCGAAAGAGAATCGCCAAAAAAACAAGAGGCACCCTATTGTAAACTTTTGCTGTTATAAAAACCAACAAAGCAGCAATAAAAAAGTCATTGGCATTTTAGTAATAAGACATTACGTTATGAGGCTGCCTTTTCCTAGGTCCTAAGATCCTGCAGAATTTTTTTTAATCGACAACTAATTTAAATCCTAGCAAAATTAACCTTGTAATCCGTAAACAAGAAGACATGATAGGTGTTTTCAGTTAGTTAGGAAATTTCTTCCCTGAGGAAAAAATTGCTTTAAATTTGTGGCAAAGAAAAATAAACTGACAAAAGGTTCATCACCCTGCAAATAGTGGTTAAAATGTGTCGAAATCATGATCAAAAGGGTTGAAAAAGTTTAATTTAGGCATCTCGTAAGCATAATGAGATCAATAAATGTTCTTTATTTATTAAATTTATTTTACTTATCAAACTAAAATTTGTAATTTTTGGGCATACTAGTTTTAATTTTGCCTATTACACTCATGTCCATAAATTAAGGATAATGCAAAATCAGGCAAAGGAAGAGTTAGAAGCAAAACAAATTTGACTTATTTGTAAAGCTTATTTATTAAACAAAAGGTAAAGAGCAAAAAAAGATGCTATATGTTTGATATTATTTAAAAAATTAGCGATTTTTTATCCCTGGAGCAAATTACAAAAAAAAACCTATTTACAAAAAACCAATATTACGTGTTTAGTATGATTGTTAATACATTGTATGTCTCCCAGATGATGCAATACAGTCCGTACAATGCCTAGGCACGCTGAGTATCAAATTATCAATCTGATCTTGGGGAATATTACACCACTCAAAAAGCAATGCTCTCCAAAGTTCCGGTAGACATGTAGGAGGAGGTTGACGGGCTGCAACTCTTCGGCCAAGTATGTCCCACACGTGCTCTACTGGATTCAAGTCCGGTGAGAATGCTGGCCAGTCCATACGGGTGATATCCTCCGACTGAAGGCATTCGCTTACGATGTTTGCACGGTGAGGACGGGCGTTGTCATCCATAAAGGCAAATTGTGCGCCCATGGCGCCCCGAAACAAACGTACATGTTGTTCCAGAATGACGTCCCGATAGATTTGGCTTGTCATGGTTCCAGTTTGAACATGCAGGTCAGTTCTGGAACTCAGAATAATTCCACCCCAAACAAGCACTCCTGCACCACCGTAACGGTATCATTCAGTGATGTTTTCTTGGTGGTAACGGGTACCTGGAGCTCTCCATATGAAAGTCCGGCGAGAATCAGACTACAAGCTAAACCTGGACTCGTCGGAAAACATCACACAAGCCCACTGTTGCATTGTCCACAATGCATGCTCTCTACTCCAGGCTAACCGCTGGCGACAGTGAGTAGCAGTAAGTGGAACGCATCTGACAGGTCTACGAGCATATAGACCAATCTGTCCTAAGCGTCTGTACACGGTCTGCCTTGAAATTGTCGTACCAGTGGCTGAAGAGAGCTTATGAGACAGGTCTGAGGCTGTGCTCCGCCTGTTTCTTTTGGCAGTGACTGCCAAATACCAGTCCGCATTCGGCGTTGTTACTCTGGGGTGACTTGTGCTGTAACGTCTCCTCACATTACCATCACCTTGGAATCGTTGCCAAAGCCTGAAGATGACACTCTGGGCAATTCCAAGTTCGTCTGATACTTCCAGTTGGGTACGCCCACATTCCAGACAGCCGATAATTCTACCGGCTGATCTTTGGAATATGGTAACTGGTAGTTTGGCGACATTTTGGAGGCGATAAAGGTTACTACCTAGGACTTTGGTAATAATGTTAGAAGTACTTAGTTCCGATTACGCATTATTTTGTGTGAGGGAAATGAGAGATCATGAGATATGTCATGTGACATTAATGGACGAATTACAGTTCTTTAATTCGAAAAGGGGGGGATTTGGAAAACTGTAGTACTATATTATTTTGTATTAAGCTTAATTGTGTGTTGTGTGAAATAGTGGAAGTGCGCGTGCCACGTAATGAAGATTCTGAAGATTAGGTAAGATAGTATTTTTAATCATTTGAGGATATTATTTGTATGCATTGTTCTAAATGTAAGGAGTAAATAAATTAATATGATATTATTGGAAAATTGTTATTAGCAATGATTTAGTTTAAAGTAATTAGGATTGTAATCTAATTTTTATTAATTTAATGTATGTGCTTATTTATATTTTAAGTAGTGTTTTTTAATTTAATAATCGTGATTTTGTGAGTTACATGTTTGTAGTATTTTGGAATACGTTGAGTATTTTCATGCATTTTCCTGAAATTTTTCTAGTTTATGAGAAAAAAGCAGTGTACATGGATATAGTGAAGAGTGTGCGCAGTGCCATTTTTGTGCAATTCTGGGATGTTTTTTTAAGTAAAAATAAGTCGACTTGTACATGGTTTAGTGATATTTTAATTAAATGATAGTTATTTTGTGAATTTTATGTTTGTAGGAATTTGGTATACGTTTCAATTGAAGTAAACGTGCATGGAAGTAATTTAAATACAGTCAAAAGTCGTTAATTCGGACACCCATAATTCGGAATGATCTGTAATCTGGACCTCAAAACTAAAAACTTTCTGTGCATGCGCCGCGTTGACACATGTGCATAGGCGTTTACGCGTGCACGTAAGACCTTTTACGACTGCGCATATGAGTGTGCGCAAGTGCAGAATACGTTTTCGCGTGCGTGTTTTATGTATAATGGACGTATAAGCTAAAATTATCTAATTATCTATTTCAATTAATGTTGATGATTGCGTTGTTCCTTAATTTTTGAATTGGATCCGGCTTATTATTTTTTGCAGACTGTAAGAGCAATTTTATAAAAGTAAGCTTAAACTTTCGATTATACTAAATAGAATTTCCGATATATATTTGTTAATATGTAAAGGATCTAAAGCGAAAGTATGTTTTGAAATCCGAAATCTGTTTATCAATTTCACGCTGCTCGGCGGGGGGAACGCCGCGGCGGGCGCGTAATGAATTGGAAGTTGATCTGTCAGCACTATCGTTATCTTCAGCGCAGATGTTTATTTTATTTGACTTATAATTCCTTACCAAATGTAGTATTTCACCTCGATATGCTCCGTTTTGATATGATTTAAAACATGTTCCTCGTCATTATAATTCGCTTCCGATAGCGAAGAAAGTGACAGAGGTTATTGAAAACGAAAAAATTTCGATTGACAAATTAGTCGGTGTTCTCGACACAGCAATTATAGGACTTGAACAGCGGAACTTCGTAACTGAACAAGAAATTATGTCTGTTTAATAGAATTAAAGAGAAAGTATTATCACATGAAACCAAAACTTAAACAACTTACACTGAAAGAAATGTTTAATAAAGTAAACAAATAAATATTAAGCTTTTTCTTTTTGCAAATTTTGATACCCTTTAGATCATGATTTTTCTTTATTACATAAATTTCATTTTCATATTTTTAATTTTAGAATTTCTGCAAGCCATCTTACGAAATTTAAACTGATGATCTATAATCTGGAAAAATCGATAATCCGTAATCGCCGAAGTCCCAACAAGTCCGGATTAACGACTTTTGACTGTATTTGACACTAAGTATTTGTAACCATTTATAATGTTTGCGGTATGAATTCGTTGGT